GCCAAGTCATGTGAGTGGCAAAAAATTACCGAGGTGAATTTGTTATTTGTCTTCTCATACACTAAAACATGAGGGAAAATAATACTCCTACCAAACATAGCATTAGTTAATTCTAGATAAGTTTGAAGGTTGAGAAAACAAATATTCCCATGGTTTTACATCTTTCTTACCTTCTTTTAAGCACTTCTTTTCCATCAGCTCAGCAGCTCATTTTTACATTCCTATATATTTGGTCATATTGAAGCCTTGATATTTAATGTTTGGGAGTTACATTTGTTTCATGTGTTGTATTTTCAGTTTTCTTATTGGCATAAAAGCATAGAGTTCTCAGTTCTCAGATCTCTGATTATATAGCATTTGGAAAAAGGACATCCGTTTTGATATGAGATGGTTTCATGTGTTAAATTATATCAATATAATGTTATTCGTCGTCATCTATCCTTTAAAATGGAAAGACAAAAAAGAATTATTTAATAAAATTAAGAAGTTGGTTCCTTTTCTTCTGCTATGTTTAATCCGTAAGAAATTCAAACGATAATTACTTGTTATTTGTTCTCAATCCTGAATGCTGAGGCTATATTGGCATATGGGGCTAACTTTTTTCAGCCTCTAACATGAAGTTTCTCTCTTTTTCAGTACTAATGGATTATCACAAAGAAAATGAAGCAATTGCAGAGCTCACAAAACCACTAGTTTTCAAGCCAGACCTGCAGCTACTACATCTTCGAATATGTCTGCTGTTAGAGACTGTTAAGCAGCCCTATGTCTTGATCCCAACCATGCCGATACTCTCGAACTATATAATAATTATAGTCTGTGAGCAGAAGACAAAAAGTAAGAAAGAATCCACATAATCATCTCCTCTCTTCATCGACCTCTGTGGAGAACCTGATTTTTTTCCCACCCGTTTCTCTTTCGAGTATTTTCATTTTATTACAAGGAAGGGGCACCATAATTGTTGGATAGTAGGTCCCTGGGAAATTCAGAAGCACTGCCATGGAGATATGGAACCTAGGAGGAAAGAAAAAGGATAGTGTCTGATGTGATAGAAAAGGATAAAAGGTGAAATTAATGGACAAAGTAGCTTGTAAATTTATGTCCTCTTTGTTGCAAGCTTGCTATATATCTTTTTGAACAGGTTTTATTCTTTACTTTTCACACATGTAAAGAGTCAAAGAGCAATTAAACTCGAAAACCATCAACATCAAAGGGATCATAAAAAGAAATTTGCACTTTCTCTTCCCAAAGCTATCAACTTTGGTCGTTCAACGTTCTGCCACATGGTTCTTGGATGATTCCAGGCTTCCAGCAAATGAAAACTTCATACTTCAGCCCTTTTCCATCCAACCTGTGACCCTTGTAAAGTGAAAATATCGGTTTTTTAATACACTGCACGAGATCCCCATAGTTTTCAGTTGCTTCACAATTATTTCATACAACCACACCTTTATCATCTCTTCATTCATGCGATCATATGCATCTCAAGGTCCACACCTACTCCGACGAATTCTTCTCTTCCAGAACGATATTTCTCATTATGGGATGAGGAATGAATGCAGCAATGGAGAGGAAACGGCCCAGGAAGCTCAACTTAAATGCGCCGCTCTTATCGACGAGGCGACCGCCCGGTGGTTACATTAGTGATGAAGCTTCTTGCCTGAATTCTGTTGCGGGATGGAAAGATTCGAGTGATGGGATTCCGTTCTGCTGGGAACAGGCTCCCGGAAAGCCCAAGAACTCGGAGAGAAGTAGCAACGTAGATGAGGCCGAAACGCCTCGTCCGAAACCCCCACCGTGCAGATGGCGTCCACCGAAAGAAGAAACTAATAGGAACTACGATCACAATCATGACCACCATGACGAAGGTTGTGATGTGGATGACTACGACGATGTATTCTCTGATGCCGTCGAAGTTTTGTCACTAACGGAAGCAATAGACATTGTTGAGAAAACAGAGAAGCTCCATGGATCAACAAAGAGCTTAGGGCCAACTGACTTGGATGGCTTGAACTTAGCCATGAGTTTAAAGCACAGTGATTGTCCATCTCCAAGTTTCATGATCGAACGCTTTCTTCCAGACGCCATTGAATTGGCTGCATCATCCGCGCTAAACATGTCCAAAACAAAGCTTCCCTACCTCTGCAATTATTCCGATCAGTCACCGTGTGTTTCCCAATCGGTAATAAAGCGACCACCACTGTCTTCCCCAAAGGGTTGTGGGCTCGAGATGTTGCTGCCATGGCGGATGAAGCACAAGCTTTGTAGTGTAAGAAATCCAGTCAAGGAAAAGCCAACAAATATTGTACAACCAAAAGCTAGTGCAAAGCAGAAGAAGTTAGTTTCATCAATTGTAGAGGCTTCTTCAGAATGGAGATGTAAATAATAGAGGTTAGCTTTTGCTATGTATAGAAATGTAGTGCATGAAAAGAAATGATTAGATGTACTCTCGGGATCTCATCTCATCTGTACTATTTTTCTTTTTGTTCTGAATAAATCTGATTGTTTCCAAAATCATTTAAGGGTAATCCATTTGAAGTATTCATTCATTCAACCTCGTAGAAAAGAAGGGTTGACAAATAATTTGATTGTAAAAACAAAGGATGTGGTAAAAGAAGACGGTTTCAATGGCATTGAATCCATGGAATTTGGTTCTGCAAAAATTAAGGCACAGCAAGTAGAGTTTAAAGAAGCCGTTGATGCCGTGGAATCATCAGGAACAAAATGGACGATAACTGGTTGGACTACGGACGTAGCCACTGATGACGGGGTTGGCCGTGACCACCGCTCTCTTCAAACTTTTACATTCTTATAATAATTTATTTTCGTTTCTTCAAATTTTATAAGTCGATGAGAAAGCTTAATTTGTATGAAAATTACATAAGAAAAAGTAAAGTTTATATTTAATCGCAGGAATCAAGTTACTTTAGTGATTAAAAGGATGATTATTATCTCTAGAGGTTTCGGGTTTGAGCTTTAACAACTGCAATATATTTAAACGTTTATTGTCAAATAATCGAGAGTTTGTAGAACAAATATTATCATTTGTAAAAAGTTACATTTAACCTTAAATATTGTAAACTAAGAGAGAGGAAGAGTAATTTTTCATTGTATCATTTAGGTCTAAATGAAAAATCAGCCCTCAAGTAACTTTTTTATTATAAGTATTTAAATTATGTTTTAGTCAAAAACAAGTATTATCATTAATTATTTTAAGTCTATTCGTTAAAAGAATTTCTTTTAAATTACTAATAAGTTAACACGTCATATCGAAAAATTTAACTCAAATTTTGATTTAAAATTTTTAAAAACAATTATATTTTAATTAAATTTAGTAAAATAATAATAAAATATTTTTGAGTCTTAAATATACACGTTTACTTCCAAGAGCAATTTTATCCTATTTGAGACCTAAAATCTTAAGCCGTTGTAAAATATAGAACTCTAAAATGAGAAAAAAAAAGGAAGAAGATTTCGAGAGAATATTATTTTTGTGTAAGTCTTAAATAACTTCAACTCTGACGTGGTATATGTTGAAGCATAACTGTTAAGTCTTTAACAACTTCATCTATTACGTAATATATATTGAAATATCGTGGATCGATGAAGAATTATTCCTCAACTGAGAACTCTTTGCAATAAAATTCTTCTTGTATGTATCTAGTATCACTATTGAAATTCACAATATCAAATTCTTTTGAAACCTCACAACTTAAACGATAAATATGATATTTATTATGATTTTGTAAATGAAAAGTGAACCAAAAGTGAGATTAACATTGTTATTCCTCTTTCGAATTTTTTCTGCAAGATTGATTGATCTTCGCATATCAAGTCTCCAAAGAACTCTTCCTCCGAGGTTAAAACCCCGAGATAACATCTCCAAACATAACAATTCAAGAACCTTGCACACCTCTGAATGTTGCAACCTCCTGACACGACCTCTGAAAGCCGCCACATGATATGTTAGAACTAAAATCTATTGTCAATCAATCGTACCTATGAGTAGCTATCATGACCCTATGCTTGACACAAACACTAACAGTTATTTAAAACATATCGATCAAGATTGAGAAAAAGATTTGAAATCATTCACCATTCATTTCTCTTCTCTCTCTTGGTGGAGACAGAGAACCCAAACACCACCGGTCAACTGTCGTATAATTATCAACTATGATTTTCTACCTAAATTAGAAGGATTGAAATGTCTCATCAACAAACATAAAAAGATCACATATAAGATGCGGGATTTAATGTGGTTTGATTTTATTTATCTCTACAAATGAGAAAATAATAATTTACTTTAAACATAAAGATCACAAAAATAAAAATATATGATATTTCATTTATTCGAGAACTTAGTATATATATCAAAACTCGATGTATAAAAAAAAACTCTCTCAACATCTTACAAAATAATCTTTACAAAATTCCAAAAGTTACATATACTGTAAAAAAAATACTATTTTTCCAAAATAATTCTCTTTTATAATTTTGAAGATCAGGACATCCTCTATTCGTTGAGTCAAATACGTGGTTATCAAAAATCATAATTCTAATTCTAATTCTTATACAAATTCCTGCTTTTGAAGGGGTAGCCCCTTGGTTCCTGGCTTCACCCAATTCCTGCTTTTGATGTGTGTTTAATTTAAAGAGTAAACAACGTTTTTTATCATCCAATTATTTCTACAATTTTATATTACTCATGTAATTAATTTTTAAAAATCATAATAAAAAATTTATTTTGATTACCCGTGGTTATAAAATTAACAATGACATTAACATATCATCACTAATAAAGTAAAAAAATATTATATCAATAGCTGAGTAAAGAAATTATTGCATCAATAGTTGTTTAACTGTGATTGATCGAAATAAATAAAGCATCACTTTAAATATGTTTTTGAAAAAAAGAAGATTCGAGTGACCAAAACAATCAAAACAATAATTGTATGATTGAATATATAGTTGAGGCTTAATTTAAAAAAGAATCTATTGAGTGGGTATAGATCTCGTATCAAGGTTTCAGTTCTGTGAAACGAAAAGAATTTAAAAAATTTTGAAAGATTTTTTTGACCTACCTTTCCCTTTCAACGGGGCTTCCTCACCGCTGCTGGCCGCCTCTATGTGTATCCCTCATTAGCCATTAGATCCCATTTCGAAATCTAGTTACAAAGGCCTTTCCCTGTTCCTTTTTTCTAGAAAGCTTGCAGAACTGTCTTTCTTTTTTGGAGCTCTAACTTGAAGAAAGGGAAACCCTAAAAAATGGAGGAATCCTCGAGAATGATCGACGTGGAGAAGCTGATATCTTATAGCGACGATCTGGTGGAGGTATTGAAGGATAAAAGGGACATTAGCAACATAACGCAGTGTTTCCAGCACTTTAACGATCTCCGCTCGCATTGCGACTCTGATTCCAAGGAGATTTATCGGTTGCTTCAAGGTCTCTTTCCTTTTTTACTTCTATTTATTCCTGCATAAATTAAGAGGAAAATGATGAAATTGAAGGAATATCTTTTTCCTTCTTTTTCTATTTATTGTTTTTTTAAAAAAGCAGAATATGAAGAAAAGATCGAAGCTTGCAAGAAGAAAACAGAGCAGGCAAAGTCTGAGGTTGCCGATGCTGCTGAAATGGATCATCTGCATAAGGAATTCCAAGAGGAACTGGAAAAAGAACTTCGACTCAAGGAGGAGCTTAGATAAGTATATGCATTTGTCGGATTTTTTCTTTAGATATTATTTAAGGCTTTGGTTTATTTATTTGTTAAATCTTATTTTTTTAAGAACACGGCTATTGGCAATGAGATAATTGAGCTGGAGCGCCAGAGGATTTCTAGCGAAGAACAGAAGAAAAAGCTGAGGAAATTTGAGCTAGACAAATTCAAAGCACAGTAAGTTCACGACCTCCTATTTATATAGGGATTGATATTTGGTTGTATTTATGCTGGTAGCTGTTCCGTGCATGAATATGTCTCTTAGAAAAAAAATAAGAGAAATATCTTGACTTGCATTTTTGAACTTTGATTTCCTTGCATATGCTTCTTGGTTGGATATTGTGGAATTTTCAATTGGTGGGGCATTGTGGGCTGCTTTTCCTAAAAATGTTCCAGCCTTCCTGCTTTATTGTATTGACTCAGTGTCTTGTGGTGTTAGAGAATGGTGGTGGTCGGTTTGTGTTGCGATAATACGGAGTGTTTGGTTGGCTAGGAAAGTGTTAATCTTTGAAGGGTATTGATGGAATTAGGAGAAATTGTTCTTGATTAAGTTTAGGTAATTGCAGTGGATTAATGCAAAATGGGATTGGTGATGTTTGATTGAGGAGTCTGTGTGGTGGTCTGAGCCGAGATCTATCTGCTCTGTTGACATATGTTGAAACGAATTTAGGCAAGGAACATGGCTTATTCAAAGAATGAAACTTGGAATGTCAATTTTAATTTCAGACCCTGGGATTTGGCGTATGGTTTTGCTAAGATTGACAAGGCTATCTCTTCTCTTTGTTCAGTTCTGTTTTGTTATGTATTGAGGGAAGCCAATCATTTTCTGATGTGTTAGATTGAGGGAGCTCGGCCAAAAAAATCGCCCGCCTGGGTCTGGGTGAAGCGGCATATGAGAGGCGCGCGCCGGGCGCAGCGCTTGTGCGCTTTTGGAAGAAAACCTAGAATAGGTCAAAGAAGAAGATAGGAGAATAGCGGCAGAAGAACAGTGGTGAAGAACGGCTAGGGCAGACTCATTTTTTTTCCTATCTTAACCCTAATACTTAAAGTTACTTAATCTATTAATCAAATCAGCCCAAGCCCATTATAACTTTTTCACATTTTGCCTGCTTTTAACAAAAAATACTTTACTGCCGTCTATGCCCTCTCACCTTTTCTATTCTTTCTTTATACTAATAAAAATAAGATCTATTATAATAAACTAATGTAATAAATATTATGCTACTGCCTATGCCCATCACCCTTCTTTATATAAAAAATTATCTAATATATAGATAAATAATTAATATATAATTATTTTTATAATTATAATAATTTTTTTATAATTGAAATATAATATAATATAATTATAATAACAATGTTGCCATAGGATGGGTGTTACTGTTCTTTGTTCTTTTGTTAATTTGTGTGGACAAATTATTGTTTCACATAGTTGAAACATGCAACCATTAGTTTGTTATAGTGTAAGTGTGTAACCCTAATTGTTTTGAAATGTTTTGGAAGATAAGGTTTTGTAAATGGTAGAAATAGGGCTCGACTCTTGAGGAGGGAATAAACAATAGCAAAGGAACATAGTGTGGGGAGGAAATTAAATGTTTTGGGAGTGAACCAGGAATTAATAGATGTGGATATGTTCTAAATTAATTTATAAAACATTTTAGCACAAAAAGTGTGCCTCACTTACGATAGGCGTGCGCCTTGCGCCTAGGCTCCAGGACCTTTTGTGCCTCGGTGTGCCTTGCACCTTTAAAAACCAAGACTAGAGTATCGTTGTAAGGCTCGGTACTTGTTCTGCAAGTTTTGTTTGTTATATCGCTGCAAACTTTTCTTTCAGTGCTCTTTAATAAACGATTTACTGATTTAGCAAAAATATGTATATGCCTATTATTCACATGACTGCTTGCTGTCTGAAATTAACAGATGTTATTTGGAATAACATGTTATGGGCCTAATCTATTTTAGCAAAGGCCGTTGGTTAGTTTCTATTATCGATTTAAGGTTTAAGCTTGCTTGATTTGTTTCCTTTTTTTAATTATGCTTTTATTTTAGTTTATTTGTTTCCCTTTTAATAATAGATTTCTTCTTTTATGTGATAAGACTGATCCTTATTTAAAGGGACATATGAAATAATATAATGAGGCAGAATTTATATCAAAAACCTTAAAAGATTAGGGTCTCTCTTTAACGATCCCGAATGTTTCTGTCACCCTTTGATGAGCTGAAAGGTGTCAATCTCCCTTCAATGAAATATTGTACGATGCAGCATGTTCGTGAAAGTATTGCTGAAACCAAAACCCAATTGTTATAGGAACTTCATGAAGGAATGGATAAAATATTGCTGGTAAGCAGGGTAGAAACTCTACTGTAGACTCAAGGTAGATCCATTGTATGGACAAAACCAAACCACAGCAGCCTCTACCGGTCTCTTTTCTTGTCTTGTGCAACAAACTCCTCTAAACCCATCTTAAGAAACATTGTGGCAGTAACAACCAACATCACTTATCTTATTTATCAACCCTTTCTAAACTTATATCCAACAACCCATGTTTTTCTTTGAACCCAATCCAAAAAAAGTTCAACTCTATATCAAAAAAGTTTAATGAGTTTAAACTTGCTAATGTATTTTTGCTAATTGTGAACGCTGGTAAGAATTTTGAAGAGATGTATTCCATGGTGTGTCGATGAATGAGAATAAATTTTCGGAGGCCCATGACCCTTATCAGTTACGACTATTAATAATGGAAGGGATCTTTCACCAAGTTTACCTTGATTTCGAGCTCGTGGAGATTCTACGGGAGGAGTAATGTTGTGGGCCAAAACTATTTTAGGGAAGGCTGTTAGTTAATTTCGATTCTCTATTTGAAGCTTAGGTGTGGTTTTATTTCCTTTCTTAATTATAATTTTATTTTTAGTTGGTCTAAGAATAGATTTCCTCTTTTATGTAATAAGACTGGTCTTTATTTAAAGAGACATGAAATAATAAAACGGGGAGTGTAATTATATGAAAGTACCTAAAAGATCTGGGTCTCTCTTTAACAAGTCTAAGTTGTCACCCTTTAACGAGCTGAAAGGTTTCAATCTCCTTGTGACAAAAACTGATGTATCCATCCTAAAGTTTCTCAGTCCAAAAAAGTGTTGTAATGGCTACTATACTTTCCCAAGTCGTATTTGCTGAGTTAATGCCTAGAGTTTGCAAATGAATCATTATTCTTTGATCTTGCAGGAGGAAGCTTTCGATGTATGCCTCTATAACTAATATTATTCCAGACATGGAAGATCAATCCAAAATCTCAGGCCGTATCCTTATGATAAAATATTATTTTCCTCTTCATCCTGTTTTATTTACCGAATGCCATTTCTTTTTTCTCACTTTCCTTCTACATTTTCAAAGTTCTTTTTTTACGGGGTTCTCCTTGATTCAACTTTATCACAGATATAGTGGATAGAGATAGAAAGGTGATAAAGAAGTTTGAATTTGACCCATCAAAGATGAGTGCTTTTGATGCTTGTGATAGCCTATGGAAGATGATAAATTCCCAATAGCAATTGCTCATACTTTCTATTGTTGTTTCTTAGAGCCTTTTGTACTGGATCAATGTGTGTAAAATGTTGGATGCTTCCATTTTAGCCTTTCTGTTAAAGAATTCAGTAGTTTGGAAAGGGCTGTTTGTTGTTCATGATGAATCAAATTTGATATCTATAATAATTGATGACATTTTTTTTTTATATTTGTAACAGCTATAAACATGATACAAAGAGCACATATTTAAATCCAATTTAAATCTTATAATTAAAAACTTCAATGAACTGTTGGTTCTCCCTTAAAAAACATAAATAAATCAATCGAAAAGTTTGTGTTCTTCCTCTTCTCTATTTAGAGAAAACACAAATAAAAAGAAAGATGAGAAGAAAAACCATAACATATTTTTGTTTTAAATTTCAAGAAAAAAAGAACTCTTAAAGTGAAGGCAATACGCACTAGATAATAGAAGAACCATTATAAGAGTCAAGGAGTTGACGATCAAGAAAATTTTTAATTTTCAGTATCCATGGAAGACTTAGAGAAAGTAGGAGGAAATAACCTTATTCGGATGGTGCGAAAGTGCACGTTTGAGAATATACATAAGAGGGTAAAAAGGTATTGATCTTTTGTATTTAAAATCATCTTTGTTCACTATCAGAGGTTGAGATCATCCTTTCAATTTTCTCTAAACAGACTTGATCAAACTCCTTTCAAAGGTTTTTTTTTCTTTAATACAAATTGTAGACACCCGTTTTTGTCCGGGTCTTTTATATTTATTTTATTATTATTATTTATTATTATTATTATTTATTATTATTATTATTATTATTATTATTATTTACAATATACATATTTTTGTAGGCCAATCTCGAGGCCCATTCTCGAAGCCCACCAAGAACCCAATAAGCTCACCCATCAGCCAAACCCTGAACCTAATTCACCATAAGGCTATCATCTAACAACCAACCGCCACAGTCGTTGGCCTTCCATCTCCCAGCCGTGCTTGAGGCGTCGATGGTGAATCCCGAGCCGGTCGTCATCAGCAATCTGGTCACACAGTGAAGCAAATGTCATCAACAGTGTATCAAACTTACCCCAAATCTAAAAACCCATTAAAATAACACCCAAAAATCCCGAAAAATCTGGACTTTATTCACCCAAATCAGAGAAATCAAATCCTATCCATAGACCTCATCATCTCACCCAAAAAGAAGGATTTAAAAATCAACATGCATCAAAGAGAGGGGATTCGGGTTTTGAGAAAAAAAAATAAAAATAAAGAGAACTAAAAAAATCCTTACCAAAAAAAAGGAGTGTTGATCATCGCTTCACCGGACCAAGAGCCTTTCATCTCTGAAGGTAAGGGTCTTGTGTTGGTTGGGGTTTGGTTTTGGGGTTCCATTCTTTTTGTTTGTTGGAGAACAGAGGCAAAATGAGAGAGGAAGAGTAGAGAACGGATGGAGGGGGGAAGAATTGAAAATAGGGTTCCCAATATTTTAAGGTGGTATATAGCAACTTAATGGAACGACACAGTATTGGATGCTAGGATTCCATGTGTTGGGTGTATGGTTTAATCGCGTCAAAAGGGTCCTCATCTTGTAACATTTTAATTTTAGTCATTAATGAACTTTTACTTTCTTATATTTTGAGCTTCCATTTGTTTTATGTTATAATTCCATCCTCATCTGCGTTTGTATTTTTATGTTCATATTTGAATTTCAGCCATCCTACTTTAATTTGTTTTTATCTAGGTAGTGTATGTTTTCATTAATGCATTTCAATCACTTTTTTTTACATTGTTTTGCTTTTGGTCAAGTTTATGATGATGGCATGTTATTTTATTTTATTTTATTCTAATCCTGGATATTGTTTTGTGGTTTATTCTCATTTTTGGTCATATATTGTTCGATATATTTGATTATTGTCCCGGTTTGTTATTGATTTGCAGTTTAGAATTACAAGTTATTATTAATATCTTTTAGCCCTCTTAATTACTATATATGTGTAATTACCTTTATTTGTGGTCTCGTTTAAGGATTTTATATTCTCATATTAGTTTTTTACATATGTACATATATTTGAATATATCCATGACTTGTATATATATATATATATTAATGTTATGTAGTCTGTATATAGTGTTGTACTATACATTTTATTACATGCATGCATGCGTGTATTATATATACTTACCAAACATTTAGATTTTTTTTTATATCGAATAGTTATATGCATAATAATATATTTTAATTTTTTAGGATCATGTATATATTTATTTAACATATTCCGATCTTCATATATTTATGTATGTACTTAGAGCTGATATTTTGAACAATCTCAAATGTTTGTTTAATGATTAATATGTTTAATGTCATTTATTCGAATACTTTCAAGAACGTCTTTTATAGAACGGACGTGGAAAGTATCACTTGGTCGAAGTGATGCAATCCTATACGACGTTCAAACAGAATGAAAAAACGCAAATTCTTGCTTTTACGAGCTTATAGAAATTATTTTTATTGTTATTCTATTTTTTGTTATTTTATTTGATGTTCATATTGTTTAATATTTAAATTTTAATCTTTATTATTATTTCTTCATTGAATCTTAATAGTGATGTATGTTTTGGAAAAATAAATATGATGTATTTTATGTCAATTTTCGATATTTTTTTAAAAGAGAAAATATTCTTTACAAGTAAGAAATAGACGAGGTAGCTTTCCCGATGGAGGATTGCAAATCTCGGGATTTCTTGTCGAGAAAAGGGTTTTTTTTCTTTTATTTTAACTAATATTCAATAAATAAATTATAATTGATTTATCATTCTTTTTTTATAATTTTTATTGTATTAATGGTTGTTATATTAATATTAACGATACAGGTTTTAGATAAATTAAGCATATTTTATTTTCTACTCATGTCAATATTATTTAGTGGTAATTCAAAGATGGAATATACTTTATAGATAAGAAATGATGAGATAGCTTTCCCGTTGGAGGATTGCAAATCTTAAGATTTCTTACCAATTGAAGTATTTCTATTATTTTAACAAATATTCAATAAATAGATCATATTTTTACTTCAGCTTCAAATTTTAAGTTCCACCATTTACGACTATATATAAGTGACTAAGTACCGATTTTGGGCGTTGTGAGGGGTGTTTACCCTTCCCTATACGTAACCGACTCCCGAATCTGTTTTAAATGAATCTTTGGTAACGTAGACCGAATATTTGTCTTATAAAACTATTTTTCTTAAAATTGTTTTTAAAAGACGTTTTTAGGTATTTGACCTACCTGACCTAAAGGTCGATGGCGACTCTTTTCAACTTTATTCAAATCAATACAAATTTCCCAATTTTTCCAAATATAAGTCATAATTTTTTTAAAATAAATAATACTTAATAGTTTAAAAAATGGTTATGACAGCTTGGCGACTCTGCTGGGGAGATCTAGAGAGTCAGGCTGTCGGTCGCTTATATATGGTCGTTATGGCGGAAATTATAAGTTCGAATCTTTAGTAAAACTATGATCTATTTATTGTATTTTTATGTATTATTTTATCTCTTTATTTTTATATACTAACATTTTAATTGTTTTCATTTTTTTCCAGATATTTCTTAGTTCTCGTTAGGTGTTTTTTTATTTTATTTTTATTTTTTATTTTCCCTGTTTTTGAGTCAAAGGTTTGTTTGTTTCTCCTCACACACATCACTTTCATTAGCATAACATGAGCTCTAGACATGAGTTTTGATCCAAATTAGTTAGGGTGATTGCTTTACTCTCGTAAGAATTTATTCTTCGTATGAGTTTTAGCAAATAACCCATGGGATACATACCTTATACCTTTGTAGGAATTTATTCCTCGTATGGGTATAAGGCCGTGAATCCCCTCGAATTGAACTCGGTCCGTTTGAAACCTGTAATGGGTGAGGATTGAGGGTTTGGTAGCCCAAGGGGGCACTGACATCAAGGACAATTCGAGTTCCTTTTTTTCCTGTTAGAGCTGAAACCATGCATATAGTGAACCATAGAACGGTCACACTAGGTAGAGTCATACTGAACCTCGGTCCGTCAATAGGTACCCAAAATAGGCGTACACAATGGAGAAACCCTCTAACCTTTTTATTTTATTTTATTTATTTATTTTTGAGTGTGTAGAATAGATTTATTCTGTTAAAGCATGTGAAATAGAATTTAGGTGCAGTTAGAATTTAATTAATTTAGGAGGGTAGAGAGCATGTTTGGGTAGGACCCTTTTTGAGGAATATTATTCGGGTAGATAATGCATAAATAGAATAGATTTATTTCCCGTTTTACTTATCTTTTTATGTTAAATTTATGCAATTGTTTTGACTAACTGTTTTGTTTGTTTTGTTTATTTTTTTTTTCATACTGCATAGACATATCATTAGAAAAGGCGATTGATCTGTGAGTATCGATAAAGTGGAAAGACTTTCACGATGGAAAGGAGTTTCCTAAACAAAGAAGTGAATCCAGCAGATGTAAGGAACTGGTCCGAGGCCAAGCAGAAAGAGCAGGGAGATAGTCTATCAGGGAACTACGTGTCGGATCTGTCTGATTATACACCAGCTTCTTTAAAACAGAATGAGCTTCAGGGATTGAAAACCATTTGGGAAAGTTGGAATCTTATTGAGAGGCAAGCTTTTCAACAGACTTATGGGGATATATTTCATCTGATATACGTGAAGGTAGACCCGGTTCTCATACGAAGCATAATACAGTTTTGGAATCCGGCCTATAGTTGTTTCACATTCAACCGAGAGGACATGACTCCAACCCTCGAGTAATACCAATTTCTGTTGAATTTGACAAGCGTTAAAGTGGACAAAGTTTACTCCCGGTCGATAAAAGGGCCTTCTTTTAAGTCAAAGCTTGCAAAGATCTCGGGCACAAGCGACAAATGGGTGAATGATCGTTTGCAACGCAAGGGAGAAAGTGAGGGAGTGCCGTGGTCTCACTTACAAAAGATAGCTGAAGCACATGTAGATGAAAACGTGCGTAGAGATGTATTTGCTTTGGGTATATATGGTTTGGTAATCTTTCCAAAATGTTTGGGATTGATTGAGCTAGCAGTAGTCGATTTGGTTGAGAAGTTAGGAAGAGAGGTGAATCCAGTCCATGCAATTCTTGCTGAAACTTTTCGATCTTTGAATATATGTAGAAGGTTGGGGGGAGGTCGT